TGCTGAGCACAGCTCCCCAGGGGTGGGCTGGGACATTCAGGGGGGTTGTGAGCACCTGAGCAGGCCAGCAAAGGCAGCAAGTGTTTATTGAAGCGACTAAGGAAAAATGTCAAGTTATCACAAGTTCTTACCAGCACAACCACGCTTCACTCTGCACACATAACTAGGTGAAATATGAGTTTAAAGTTTGTTAGTGTTCTTTTTCCCATGCAAGGTAGAAAAAAAAGTCGCAAAACAATCCTCAGAGGGTTTTGCCATGACAATACTGAAGGTTTTTTTCATGGGGAAAGGCTGTTTTCATTGTTCAAAGCAATCCTTCCATGTGGAGAGAACATGTACAAATAAGGACTAGATGTGTACTTGGGAGTTTGGCTCCTGGCCTGGGTGTGTTGGCAAATTGGCCTGAACTGCATGTTTTGACACCACAAATAAGGACGAGGAATTAGACAGTGCGGTGATCCGGAGAGACAAGGAGCGGGTTTTCTCCTACAGAGCTTTTAAGGTCTTGCTTTGAATTTTTCCAAAGATAGCTCAGCCTCACAACTGAATTCTTAAAATTCACTTTAGGAGAGCTGGTAATACAGCTTTGAAAAAAAAAAAAAAAATCATTTCATGAGTAGAATAATATTCATTCAAACCTTGAATTTCAAATAATGTGAGAAAAACTCAAACTTACAGATAATATTTGATGGTTTATGCATGACTATTAAAAATAGCTCAAATGATGCTGTTATCAATTTCTTTACTTTCAAAATCTATTTCTGACAGTGTGGTTTTACAGATTTCAATCTCTGGGAATCCATTATTATATATTCCTACTTGAAACTTATATTTCTCTGAATCAAGTTGCTTTTTTTTCCCCTCTCCAAATTCATTTCTAAATACTTTACACATCTGTAGCTAACTTAACGTTTAACAACACAGTGGTGCACATAACTGAAAACTTGCATTTTTCATGTCAAAAGTAGGTTCCGCTGGGTCATGTTATAATGTCACATCTGAATTGTTTTTGCACTGCTGGGTACCCACCAAACCCCAACAGAAAAACCTCTCCCATAGTGCTGTAACATTATCACCAATGTGCTATCTCCCATTTCAAGCCTGATCATGCAGATATCACCACAGGG